CAGCAGGACCAGCCCCAGCCGCAGCCGCCGTCCCTGCAGCACCCGCCGCAGCCGTGGGCTCGTCTCCCGCCTGGTTGGCCCGGCACCTCCGGAGGCGGTGGCCGTGGTGGCGGCCCGCGCAGCTTGGCGTCTACCAGCGGCTCCAGTGCTGTGACCTGCCAGTACCAGCTTCAGACCGGGCCTCTCCGCGGCACTCTGTGCCGCCGCCCGCACCCGACCGCCCGCTGTTTCCGCCGCCTCGACGATCTTTTTCGTCGTCGCTTTGGCCCGGCCCCGGACCTCCCTGACTGGCACAGCCTGCTCCGCCAGGGCGTGCCGATCTTTGAGTTAGACATGGATCAGATAGGTGCTGCTTTGCATGCTTTGTATGCTGACGCTTCTAGTGTTGCTGGATCTTACTACCCTGTGTACTCTAGTTTAGGTGTTTCACCCTTGTGTAGCTTAGCTTCCCCTGCTGCGACAGGCGTAGGACTGCCTAGGTTGCCTAGTCTAGCCGCTGCACCGGCTCCGTCCCCGGCCTCCGCCACTGCGTCGCTGTCCTTCACTCTCGACTCTGGTGCTTCTGCCTGCTTCTTCCGCGACCGTTCCACGCTCACGCCGCTTGCTGCACCTGCTGTTGTCTCTCTCGCTGACCCCTCTGCGGGTCCGGTCGTCGCGCGCAGTTCTACGTCCCTTCTTTGTCCGGCAGTTCCCTCGGGCTCCCTTACTGGCCTCCACGTTCCCTCGTTCTCGAGGAACCTGGTTGGTGTCGGCTGTCTCCAGGACCTCGGCGTCACCACCACGTTCCCCGGGCACGAGCGGTTCGCTGTCTGTTCTGAGGCTGTCTCAGGTTCCCCCCTTGCGACGTTCCCCCGGGACCCGGTGTCCGGTCTGTTTACCCTACACACCGCTTCCCCCCCGGTTGGTGCGTCCTCCCAGGTCGCTGCAGCTTGCTCGTGTCGGTCCCTCACTCACCCCTCCCTTCTCTGGCACCACCGCTTAGGTCACCCTGCTCTCCCGCGTCTGCGTCACATGTCCCAGCACGGTCTTGTCTTAGGTCTCCCCGCGTCGCTCCCTGCCCTTCCTCCCTCGACTGCGCCACCGTGCACGCCTTGCGTCGAGGGTCGGCTCCGCCGTGCTCCTCACTCCTCCTCGCTGCGTCCTGCTACTGCCCCCCTTCAGACCCTGCACTTGGACGTTTGGGGCCCTGCCCCCGTCCCCGGACCGCGCGGTGAGCGCTACTTCCTTGTGCTCGTCGACGACTACACGCGCTACACCACGGTGTTTCCCCTGGAGCGGAAGGCCGACGTGCCCGACGTTCTTCTCCCGTGGGTTGTGGCTGCGCGTCTCCACCGCGGTCTCCCCGTGTTGTGTCTCCACTCCGACCGTGGCGGCGAGTTCGCCTCTGGTCGGCTTGGACAGTTCTGTCGTGCGGAGGGCATCACCCAGTCGTACACGTTGCCGGACTCGCCACAGCAGAATGGGGTTGCTGAGCGCCGCATCGGCTTGGTCATGGAGGTCGCCCGTACCTCCATGATCCATGCCGATGCCCCCCATTTTCTGTGGCCGTTCGCTGTTCGCTACGCGGCTCACCAGCTTAACCTGTGGCCACGCTCCCAGCGGCCGCAGGTTTCGCCGACCCTCCTTTGGACCGGGTCCCCCGGTGACGCGTCTGCGTTCCACGTCTGGGGCTGCCTTGCTCACGTTCGTGCCTCTGGCACGGACAAGCTCACTGCCCGCACTGTCCCCTGTGTCTTCCTCGGTTTCCCCCTGGACTCGTCTGACTGGCTTTTCTACCACCCGCCGTCTCACCGCTTCCTCCACTCTCGTGACGTCACCTTTGACGAGTCCGTCTCCTTCTACCGCCGCTTCCCTCACCGAGGTCTCCCAGTTGCCCCCCCCCTTTTCCTTGCTCCCTCTCCCCCGGTAGCCCCTGCCCCTCTCCCGCCTCGTCCTGCCCCGTCTGGTGTCTCCCACGTCACTCCCCTCCCGTCGGTTGTCCCCGTTGAGGAGTCTGCTGACTCTGGTGGTACCCCCGGTCCGTCCTTGCCGCGTCCCCCTTCCCCGGTGCCTCCGCCCCCACTGTCGCAGTCGCCGACCCCGCTGCCGCCGCCGTCGCCGTCGCCGCCGCAGCCGTCGCCGCTGTCGTCGCCGCCGCCGCCGCTGTCGCTGCCGCAGCCGTCGCCGCTGTCGCCGCCGCCGCAGCCGTTGCCGCCTCTGCCGCCGCTGCTCTCGGCCCCTGGGGGTGCTGGTGTGGAGGAGGGTGTTCGTCCTGCGGCTTCTGGGGGTGCCGCTGGTGTTGGAGGGGGTTCTCGCTCTGGGGGTGTTGGTTCTGGGGGTGCTGCTGTTGAGTGTTCTGCCGACGGTCGTTCTGCCTCTGCTGGTCCGAGAGTTCCGGCCCGGCCGTCGTCGCCGCCGCAGCAGCCGTCGCCGCCGGTTTCCGCTCTCCGCCTGCTCGGCCTTCCCTCCCCGGACCGCGCGCCGGTGTCTCCCCCACCGCCTCCTGACCTCCCTGTCTACGGTCCTGTGTTCCCGCCGCCAGACTCGTCTCCGGCCCGTCTTCCTCCTCGCTCCCCTCCTGTGTCTCCTCCGCTGTCCCCTGACCCTACCCCTCCGTCTCACGTTTGGGCTCGCCGTCCCTCCCGTGCTCGTCCCGTCTCTCCTGTCCTGCCCACCCACCCTATGTTGCTCCGTTCCCACTCGTCTCGTCCTCCCCTCCTCCCGTCCCCTCCTCCCTCGTCCCTTGCTGTTGCACCTCCTCCGTTCTCTGACTACCTCCGTGCTGCTCGTCCCCTTGTCCCTCGGGTCCTTGCCTCTCTTGTTACCGACCCTGCTGTTCCTGTCTCGCGGCTTGACGCGCTTGTCGCTGCTGTCGCTGACTTCGCTTCTACCCGCCGCCTTGACTACGCTACCGCTCTGGTCTCTGACCCTGCCCGTCCTCTGTCCGTCGGGGGTGCTCCTGCCCTTGGCAGTGACGTCCTAGAGGACAGGCAGTACGAGCTGGCTTTCCTTTCCGAGGCTGCTCCCCATCTCTGCTCCATGCTGTTAGTCCCTGAGGGTGACCCAGACGCCTTCGACATCCCGACCCCTCGCACCTACGCTGAGGCCACCTCGGGACCTTGGGCCTCTCAGTGGATAGCTGCCATGGAGCAGGAGATGGCATCTTGGAGATCCACCGGCACTTACGTCGACGCAGTTCCCCCGCCTGGGGTGAACGTAGTCGATGGTCGGTGGCTCTTCAAGGTGAAGCGCCCCCCTGGAGAGCCGCCTGTCTTCAAGGCGCGCTACGTGGCCAGAGGTTTCAGTCAGCGCGAGGGGGTTGACTTCTTCCAGACCTTCGCCCCGACCCCGAAGATGACCACTCTTCGGGCGCTGCTACACGTAGCAGCACAGCGTGACTACGAGCTTCACTCCCTCGACTTCTCTACTGCCTTTCTTCAGGGCAGCCTACACGAGCAGGTCTACCTGCGCCGACCACAGGGCTTCACTGATACCTTCCCTCCTGGGACCCAGTGGCTTCTCAGGCGCCCGGTCTACGGCCTGCGTCAGGCTCCCCGCGAGTGGCACGACACGCTACGTGCCACGTTAGCAGACCTGCAGTTCTTTCCGTCCTCTGCTGACCCTTCACTGTTTGTGCGTTCCGGCCAGACTCCGTTCTACATCCTTGTCTACGTAGACGACCTGGTCTTCGCTACTCCTGACAGGGACGCACTGGCCTCTGTGAAGGCTGAGCTGCTGAAGAGACACACCTGCACTGACCTTGGAGAGCTGCGTCGCTATCTTGGCCTGCAGATCTCTAGGGACAGAGCAGCACGCACCATCACTCTGACCCAGTCACACTTGGTGCGTCAGGTCCTTCAGAGGTTCGGTCTTCAGTTCTCCTCCGCACAGCCCACACCTCTACCCGTAGACCATGGGCTCTCTGCTCCCGTTTCTGAGGAGCCAGTAGAGCCCAATGGCCCCTACGCAGAGCTGGTGGGTTGCCTCATGTACCTGATGACTTGCACTCGCCCAGATCTCGCATACCCTCTCAGCATCCTGGCTCGCTTTGTGGCTACAGGCAGACACCGACCGCAGCACTGGTCTGCCGCTAAGAGGGTTTTGCGTTATCTTGCTAGTACATCAGGCATGGGGTTAGTGCTAGGAGGACGCAGGCCAGTGGTCCTTACTGGGCACACAGACGCTTCTTGGGCAGACGACGCTGAGACGCTCAGGTCGTCGCAGGGCTACTGTTTCAGCCTTGGTTCGGGTGCTATCTCTTGGAGATCCACTCGCTCGTCGTCTGTGGCTCAGTCTAGCTGTGAGGCTGAGATCTACGCTAGTGCCATGGCGGCACAGGAGCTCCGCTGGCTGACCTTCTTGCTCACTGACTTAGGTGAGCGGCCTAGCTCTGCCCCGGTCCTGTACGCTGACAACAGGGCCATGATACTCCTGTGTCAGGAGCCTCGGCTTGAGGGCAGAGCGAAGCATATCCAGCTGCGGTACTTCCTCCTGCGCGAGCTACAGGAGCGCCGCCAGGCCCGCTTAGTTCACTTGGCCTCAGGTGCCAACACAGCTGATATCTTTACTAAAGCGCTTGCGCCTAAAGATCATCAGCGGCACTGTGTACAGCTTGGTCTTGTTCCTATAGCTGCTCCCCTGTTAGGATCCTGATTGTGTACTCTCTATTATATATGCTTGTCAAACTGGCCTTGTGGCCTTACCTCCAGTGGCTGGACTAGTAGTGCCACCCTGGCTTGCTTCAGTTTTGGTTGTATTCTTGCTGACTGGTCTCCAAACCCCTGCCTCAGTGGTTGGACTAGTAGTGCCGCCCTGAGCTGTTTGCTTCTTGTTTAGTTTCACCCCTTGTCTAGCCTAGGGGGTGTGTCAACTTATACATATTATCTATGTAGAAGTTATAGGCTAGACTGAGGTATGCTTCTAGTGAGTACAACCAACTAGTATTTGTTCTAGGTTTCCACCTCTAGTAATCATTCGTTTCTACGTTAACACTCGGTACTACGTTCTTCAAGTGTAGTGTTATACTTCAGAAACGCTCAAGTCTTCGAGGTATTTCCAACATTCTTAATAATATGTAACCCTGAATGTACTTGCGCGATCCTGAGGATTTCAGATTTGCCCATCTCCGGACTCTGACATTTCAGAGTCCCTAAATTCTGGCTGAAGACCTTTCAGACTATTTTTTCTTTAGGGGGGTTAGCTCAGAGTGCCTTTTTTTGAAACGTCAGCCCTGGCTGGCGCCCATGCGTAGGCGTCGTTCTTCTCTCTTCCTCATCCTTTCCTGCACTGCTTCCATGAACCTTCTGTCCTCCTCTTCCAGCCTCGCCGTAGTGTCCTCCTTAACCCGCTCCCCCTCCCCCCTCACCCACTCTACAATCCCCCTCATCTCCCTTACATGCTCCTCCCTCTGCGCTGCCTCCCTCCCAGCAACAGGCGCCAGCATCTCAGCCATTCCTGTCTCTGCCGCTTCCACAATAGCGGCCACGCAGCTCTGAGCATGAATCACCAGGGACGCACAGGAAGCAGCAGGTGGTGGCAGGGAGGGGGGCTGCGGCTGGGGCGTGCTGGGGGTGTGTGGGGGGGTTGGAGCATTGGGAGGGATTTGAGGGGTTGGTGGGGGGTGGGAGGTGCGAGGGAGAGGAGGAGTGTGAGGGATGTGTGGGATGGTTGGAGTAGATGTGCCATCAGTGCCAGTGCCCCTGTCACCACCTCCAAGCCCACCATCATCAGTCGCACCAATATCCCCTCCAAAGCTATTAGCACCCCCTGTCACCTTCGCAGCCCTAATCGTCTTCGCCCTCCCCTCTTCCTCCCACCTCCTTCCCTGCTCTCTGGTGTCCCTACCCTTCCCTCTTAGATGCTTCCCAGCAGTACGTTCCTTGCCATGCCTTGCACGCCCCTCTAGCTGCCTATCTCTCCTCTTCACACCCTTTTTAACACCCATTGGAACATCCATCAATATCTCTTCCTCTTCCACCTCCTCCTGCTCATCCTTCTCTGTTTCGTCCCCATCCGCCTCCCGTAGCTTCTTCCGAGCAGCACATTCCCTGGCAGGATTTGCGCGCCTCTTGAGCTGCCTGGATTTCCTATTTCCCCCCCTTCTCTCACGCACTCTTACTTCCACATCCTCCTCCTCCTCCTCTTCGTCCTCTTCCTCCTCCTCCTCTTCTTCCTCCTCCTCCTCACTCCCTACACCCTCCCCATCACCCTCATCCTCCACCTTCACACTTCTCCCAGCCGTCCCCACCCCACCCCCCTTCCTCTTCCTCACCCTCACCCGCCTCCTCCTCACCCCACCCCCAGCAGCAGCAGCAGCTTTGACGTAGCTCCCCCCTTCAGACGGCAGCAGGAGCGCAGCAGGCACGGGTACGCACAGCGCGTCGAGGAACATGCACGTCTGCACCCTGCAGATGGGCCACACCTTGAAGTCCCGCCGCCCTGTCTCTGTCCGGTACTGCTCCCGCGCGTGCACTGCCGCCCGCACCAGGTGCAGGGGTGCGTCGTGTAACTCCTGAAGGGAGTGCGAGAGTGCAGGGGAGAGGGGGAGGGGGGAGATGGGGAGGGGGAAGAGGGGGAGGGGCGGGGGGAGGGGGAATGGGCGAGGGGAAGGGGGAAGGGGGGTGAGCGGGTTGTGTTGTGTGTTGGAGTGGAGGTAGGTACGTATCGTGTGGTGTGGGTAAGTGCGGAGCGGAATAAGGTTGGCGTGGGATTCTAGGGACAGGGTGAAACCAGGGAGCGGAACGGAAGCAAGAGTGGGAAAGGAGAGAATGAGGGGAGGGGAGGTTGCAGATGACGCAGGGAATGAAGCCGGCAGGAGAAACGGGAGCGAGCAAAGGACAGAACCAAACAAGGAACGCCATCACCACGTTATAAACAACAAGAAACAAACGGCCAAACGGCCTGGAGGCGTGAGAGAGAGTGGGTAGCTGTGCAACGACGCGAGCAGGGGGCAGAGAGCACAGGGAAATGCGATGGGGACGGAAGGGAGACGTCAAGGGAAGAACGAAGGGGAGACGGGGGGGGGAGACGGAGGGGGAGACGGAGGGGGAGAGGGAAGGTAACAGTAGCCATACTGACCTCCTTCACGTATTTAACTCGGTACTTGGGCGCGATCACGAAGCCCAGTTGCAGCAGCGTCGCTTCCAGCACCTTCCTCCCCTCGCAGCACAGCCTCTCGCGGATCTCGAACCACGCCGCGCCGTGCTTCCGCGCCTCCCGCGTCTCTCGCGCCTCCCGCGCCTCCTGCGCCTCCCCCTCCGCGCTCTCCGCCACTCGGCGCAACGGACTCATGCCGACTCGCCCCTCGGTCAATCCCAGCGGGAGACACCGCACGGCGATCCCCGGGTTCTCGCTCGATCACCGCAATCACCGCCGCCGCGTGTGCTAGGTTCTTTTTGCAAAACGAGACAGCGGCTAAGAGAAGTTTCCAGCTTTTGGTTTGGACACAGCACAGCGCCACGTAGCACAGCGCCGAACAGCAGAGCGCCGCACAGCACCGCACGACACGGCACAGATGCGCTGCTTCTTATAGTGTCCCGCGGTTGCTTCGGAAACGAGGCCACGGGCGGGAATCGGGCCAGAGCTACTACGATTCGCGAGAGAAGAGGAAGGGAGGGGGAGGGAAGAGGTGGGGCAGCGGACTACAGTAGGATGGTGTGGACGCAGACCGCGAGAGGCGGCGATGGCGCAGACGCACGGCAGGGAGTTGCCCACACGGCACGGCCCGGGAAGAGCAGCGTACTATAGTGGGACCGTAAGAGACGGCGGCAGCGACGAAGGCGCACGGCACGGGTGTAGCCCGCCGGAGCGCAAATGAACGCTCCTGACCTTCGCGAGTCCGACACGTGGCTTCGGGGCGAGGCGGTTTATTGCGCCAGATAGGTGCTGGGAAGGGGCGAAGGCAACGAGCCTGCACGTCAGATGGGGCGTCATAAATTCGTCGCACCTAGGACGAGGGAACGGGTTTTCGGAAATATATGAGCTCTGGTGGGGCCACTGCCAATTACTCTTTCGCTCGCCCTGCATGCGAGAATGTCGCTTATGTAACCAGGGCCGTCGCCACGAGTTGTACAGTATTGTATATCGACGCCAATATTCGTCAATGCCAAAAATCTGAACGAAGCTGGGCAAAGTGCAAGTTCGACAATCGCAAGACGAGACATTAGCGGGAGTTTTGCGCTTCTCGGGGCTACACTCTAGCGCGTCATCGAGGTTGGATTCAGCTTTCCCGCCTCCCTAATCTCCTCCGCATGTCGCCTTGAGCTCCCAAGGTTTCCTCAAAGCACAGTCTGCCACCCGTACCGCTCCGCCATGGCCTGGATCACACCGAGATTGCGTCGTCGTAGCCTCTGTCCCACCAGAATTCCTTCCCTCCCTCTCTTATTCGATCCTCCGCCGAGCCTTTATCGAGTAATCACAGCTTCATCTTCTTCCTGTATCACGTTACGTCATCTCACTGCGTCTCAGCTTCCTGCTGGCCGTATCAGTCTCTCCCCAGGTCGCTACGATGAAGCTCTAGTGAATCCTAGCATCGCATTCCTCACCGTCAGATTTCACTTCATCACGTACCAAAGTCGCCGCCCTCCATGAAACTGTACTCGTCGTAGCGATCCAATCAGTAGTACGGCGTGCTGACCGACCTCGCCTCAGAGGCCACGATGGCTTCCAGTAGTCGTAGCAGTACGGCGGGTGACGCCGACGCTACTGATCGCTGCTCGTTGGATTCTTTGCCGGACGATCTTCTCATCGAGATATTCCGCCGCCTTGAGCCAAGACCGATTCTTTCATCCGACGCTCTTACCGACCAGCAGCACGCTCTTTCAGCTTCCTACGCCTCCTCTTTCGCCTCCTTCTCTCACGCCTCCTTCTCTCCCGCCTCCTTCTCTCCCGCCTCCTCCTCCTCCCACGCATTCGTGTGTCGCCACTGGCACGACCTTGCCTATATCGCAAGGACATCTATCAACATGAAGCGTCGTCGGAGGATCTCCGCCTCGCAGCTGATCCAGGCCGTTCATCGCATGCCGAGTCTCAGATCGCTCGAGATCTTCATTCTCGGTACGGATCGCGTCACGGACGCCCTCCTTGCGGGGATCGCGCACACAAGCCCCGGCCTAGAGCGCCTTTCCGTAACCTGCGGACGTAGCGACGAGTACACGGCCAGAGGGCTCGAAAAGCTCTTCCGAACCTGCACGCGGCTGGCGGATCTCTCGCTGAACTGCCCGCCCACCATCACCTCTTTCCCGGGCAGCATCTCAGCTGTGCGTGGACTCGTACGCCTCAACATCTGCTCTGTCGACCTGCTCCGTTTCCCTGACGAGATCGGCGCGCTTCACGCTCTGGCGTCCCTCGTGTTGCAGACGCCTCTTGTCGCATCGCTGCCCAGCAGCCTGGGGGATCTCAGCAGCCTGCGGGAGTTGGAGCTGGTGGGTTGTAGCTCGTTATCCTCGTTACCCGACACGGTTGGGCGGCTCTTGAAGCTGTCCCGCCTTTCTGCGTCGCATTGCAGCGGGATTACCTCCCTTCCGGACGCCCTCTGCCAGTGCATCTCCTTGGACTCCCTGGATCTCTTTCTGCCAGGCCTTGCCTGGCTGCCGGAGAATCTCGGGCAGCTGAGAAACCTCCGCCAGCTTCTCCTGTCGTTCTGCATCGGGCTTGGTGACCTCCCGGGTTCTATTACGCAGCTATCTTCACTCCAGGAGTTTGCCGCTGTTCGGTGCTTCATGCCGCTCCCTGAAGACCTTGGGAACTTGACTAATCTCCTGTCTTTGGACCTGCAGTGCAGAACGCTCAGCCACCTGCCGTCCTCTCTGCCCCAGCTCGCTCTTCTTCGTCGCCTTGCAATCTCCCGCACCAGCCAGCTGTTTGCTCTGCCGGAGACCATCGGCCAACTGTCTGCACTCAAACAGCTGGACCTGTCCCGCTTGAGCAATCTCCAGAGCCTTCCGAATGCAATTGGGCAGCTGCAGCAGCTTCGGTCGCTGAGGATCCATCGCTGTGATTCGCTCCAGGAGCTTCCAGAGTGCCTGTCGCAACTGCGTGCGTTGAGGACTCTCATTATCGCCAAATGTAAAGTTTTCTGCCGTATTCCGAAAAGCATCCACCACCTGTGTGAACTTCGACAGCTGAGTCTCCACGCCTGCCCTAAAATTTTCCAGCTGCCTGCCAGCCTTGCTCTCTGTGATTCCCTCTGGAGCATCTCCGTTTGCGAATGCTATGATCTCATGGACGTGCCAGAGGAGATTCAATACCTGGTTGATGAGGATAGTGAGTGCAGCGATGATGACAGCTCGGAGGAGGGGAGTGAGGGGGAGAGTGAGGAGGATGAAAGTGAGGAAGATGAGGAGGAGGAGGAGTATGAGGGGGAGGAGGATGAGGGGGGGGAGGATGGATGGGGAGAGGATGAGGGGGAGGAGGATGGGAGGAGGATGATAGGGAGGGGGGTGAGAGTGAGGAGGCTGAGAGTTAGGAGGATTATGAGAGGAGGACGGGAGGATCAGAATGAGGAGGATGAGAGTGAGGATGATGGATGGGAGGAGGATGGGAGTGAGGAGCATGTGGGGGAGGAGGATGGAAGGAGGAGGATAGTGAGGGGGATGAGAGTGAGGAGATTACAAATTTGAAGGATGAGGCAGATGAGTAGAGGATGGGAGGAGGATGAAATTCAGGAGGATGAATGATGAGGTGGAGGAATCAATCACCCCAACCAATGCAGCAGCGGAAGGTGATGTGGGGGGTAAAGGGTTGTTCAAGGGGAGGCCAGGAGGATGGAGATACCAGCGGCAGGAGATCCAGGTGTAGACACACAGCTTCAGAAGTGGACGCCGATTGGCTGTTTTTTTTTTGCCTAGGTTCATTCCATTTTACTTCATTGGTCTCGTTCCATTTCATTGTGCACGGTAGTGGCGGTGTTTCTGGGTTGAAACTTGTAACCATATGTTCAACATTGAATTATTGTAAGGAATTTTCCATTCCTTAGCGCGCCACACCGCTAACGCGTATCCCAACCCCACACGGCACGGACTGTCAAACATAAGTATAACTCATGTTTGTATAGACTGTATAGGGTCACCTCTTAGAGGGTACAACACTCTTAGGTATATACCCTTGTACTCTCTCTCTATTCAACAATTCTTCAGTTCTAAGATGGTATCAGCAGTAGGTAGGTCCCACCGCCCCCCCAACACTTCCGCCCTAGGATCTACCCCCGTGCGTCGCGCCCCCTAGGCCCCGTCGCGTCACCTAGGACCAGTCGCGCCCCCCCCTGGGCCCGTTGCGCCCCCCTGGGCCCCGTCGCGTCACCTAGGACCAGTCGCGCCCCCCCTGGGCCTCGTCACGCCCCCCCCTGGGCCCCGTCACGCCCCCCTAGGCCCCGTCGCGCCCCCTGGGCCCCGTCACGCTCCCCTGGGCCCCGTCGCGCCCCCTGGGCCCCGTCACGCCCCCCTGGGCCCCGTCGCGCCCCCTGGGCCCCGTCACGCTCCCCTGGGCCCCGTCACGCTCCCCTGGGCCCGTCGCGCCCCCTAGCACCCGTCACGCCCCTCCTGGGCCCCCCGTTGGTGCCTCCTGGCCCTGTCGCGCGACTCCTAGCCCGTCGCGCCTTACCTAACCCGTCGCGCCTTTCCTAGCCCGTCGCGCTTCCTAGTCCATCGCTCCAGCCCCGCGACCGTCCCAGCCGGCCCCGCGACCGTCCCAGCCGGCCCCGCGACCGTCCCAGCCGGCCCCGCGACCGTCCCAGCCGGCCCCGCGACCGTCCCAGCCGGCCCCGCGACCGTCCCAGCCGGCCCCGCGCCCGTCCCAGCCGGCCCCGCGACCGTCCCTGCCGGCCCCGCGATCGTCCCAGCCGGCGCCACGACAGTCCCAGCCGGCCCCGCGATCGTCCCAGCCGGCCCCTGCGATCGTCCCAGCCGGCCCCGCGACCGTCCCAGCCGGCCCCTCGTGCCCGTCCAGGCCTCCCCTGCACGCGTCCCAGCCGGCCCCGCGCCTGTCCCAGCAGGCCCCGCGCCCGTCCCAGCCGGCCCCGCGCCTGTCCCAGCCGGCCCAGCGCCCGTTCCAGCCGGCCCCGCGCCCGTCCCTGCCGGTCCCGCGCCCGTCCGAGCCGGCTCCCGCGCTTGTCCCGGCCGGCCCCGCGTCGACTTCCGGTCCTTCCTCGCCGGCCCTACGACCGTCCGATCTGCACTCTCTTTGGTACGGTTCTCCACCACCTTTCACCGCACTGTACCGCACTGCACCGCACCGCCCTGCATTGCCCTGCATCGCACTGCCTCGCCTTGCACCGCCCTGCACCGCACTGCACTGCCCTGCTCTGCATTGCACCGCACTGTACAGTCCTGCACTGCCCCTGATGGCGGCGGAGCTTCGCTTCGACGCTGAAGGCCAGCCTCTGGAGTTCGAGGCGTGGCTTGCCGACCTCCGGCGTCAACTCACTGGCCAGCGGCAGGATGGTGAACCGCTTTCCGCACACCTTGACGGTACGCTCCCCTGCCCAGACCCCCCTGCTGTTCTGCCCGCTGACTCCGCACCCACTGAGCGCGAGTCTACTGCTGCCACTGCCCGTGCGCGCTCTGTCTGGCTTTCTCGAGATGCTGTCGCTCAACTTGCCATTAGCAATGCCCTTCCCCCGTCCGAGCGCCCCCGCTTTAGGTCCCTCACTACTGCCCAGGCTTACTTAGATGCTGTCATCAAGCGCTATTCCACCCCTCCAGCTGCCTCGGTGGGTCGCGTGATCCTCCCGATGCTCTTTCCTGACCTTGCGTCTTTCCCCACTGTCTCTGACCTCGCTGCCCACCTGCGCTCGATAGATGAGACCTGGCGCGCTGCCTGCACTGACGCACAGCTTAGAGCCCACCAGCCGCCCATTACCTCTACCCTTTACCTGCTTGCCACCCGCCTCCCTGACCGCCTTGCTGTCGCCCGCGACCTCTTCCTTAGCATTCACCCCGCAGACCTCACCCTCACTGACTTTGTAGACACCCTGACTGTGATTGAGACCCGCCATCGCTCTATCGCCCAGGCGAGCGGTACCGTGCCGGTCCCTATCTTTCAGGGTTGTGCCCTCGCTCAGTGTACTTTCTCCGACGGCTCTGCCGCTGTGGCTGAGACTGCTGCTGCAACGCAGTTTCGTTCGGGGAAGGGCCGCCGCCCCAAGGTTGGGCGCGGCAGAGGAGGCGGGGGTGCGGGAGGGGGTGGTGGTGGAGTCGGGTCGTCTGGTGCTGGAGCGGACGAGGGGACCCTGCCCAGTCCAGCTGAGCCGCCGCCCCTGCAGGCGCAGCAGCAGCAGCAGCCGCAGCAGCCGCCGCAGTCGCAGCAGCCGCAGCCTTCGCAGCAGCCGCAGCAGCCGCCGCAGACGAGGCAGACGAGTGTCCTCCCGCCCGGGTGGCCCGGCGCTGGCGGTGGTCGGGCGCGTGGTGGTGTGCCGAGTGGTGGTTCTGGAGGCGTGCGTTGTCAGTACCAGATCCAGACCGGTCCTCGCCGCAGCTTCGTTTGCGGTAAGATCGGTCACTCCGCTCCCCGCTGTTTTCGTCGCCTGGACGACCTGTTTCGTCAGCGCTTCGGCCCGTCGCCAGACCTCCCGGACTTGCACAGTTTGCTGAGTCGTAAGATTCAGATTTTTGACATGGACATGGATGCCATTGTTTCTGTTCTGCATGTGATGTATGCTGATGACTCTAGTGTGCTTCCCGCTTATTACTCACTGTCGGCTAGTGTAGGTGTGCCTAGCTTAGCCTCCCCTGCTGTGTCAGGCATAGGATCCCCTGCTTTGTGTAGTCTTGGTGCTTCCGCCGTCGTTCCGTCGCCAAACGCCTCTGCTTCGCTTTCCTTCACCTTGGACTCTGGCGCTTCCCGGTGTTTCTTCCGCGACTTCACCACCCTGACGCCGCTTCCTGTTCCTGCTGCCGTTTCTCTTGCTGACCCCTCCGGCGGTCCGGTAGTCGCCCGCAGTTCCACCACCCTTCCCTGTCCGGCGGTTCCTTCGGGCACTCTCACAGGTCTGCATATCCCCTCGTTCTCCAGGAACCTAGTTGGTGTCGGCTGCCTCCAGGACCTTGGCGTCACCACTACGTTCCCTGGTCACGAGCGGTATGCTGTCTGTACCGAGGCCGCCACGGGTGCCCCCCTGTCCACGTTCCCCCGGGACCCGGTGTCCGGCCTGTTCACTCTGGACACCGTGACCCCCCCGGCTGGGGCGCTCCCTCAGGTGGCTGCGTCTACCCAGGTTGCTGCTGCCTGCTCCTGCCGCTCCCTCACTCACCCGACTCTCCTTTGGCACCACCGACTAGGTCACCCTGCACTCCCGCGTCTGCGTCACATGTCCCAGCACGGTCTTGTCCTTGGTCTCCCAGGTTCTCTCCCCGCGTTTCCCTCCTCCCCAGCCCCACCTTGCACGCCTTGTGTCGAGGGTCGGCTTCGCCGTGCCCCTCACTCTTCCTCGTTTCCCCCTACCGCCGCGCCGCTGCAGACCTGCACCTGGACGTCTGGGGCCCCGCCCCCGTCCCTGGGCAGCGTCGCGAGCGCTACTTCCTTGTGCTTGTCGACGACTTTACTCGTTACACCACAGTCTTTCCCCTGGAGCGCAAGGCCGACGTGCCTAGCGCTCTCATCCCCTGGCTTGTCTCTGCGCGTGTCCACCGCGGTCTCCCTGTCTTGCGTCTTCACTCCGACCGTGGTGGCGAGTTTGCCTCAGGTGTCCTTGGTCGCTTTTGTCGTGCGGAGGGCATCACCCAGACGTTCACCCTACCGGACTCCCCACAGCAAAATGGGGTCGCTGAGCGACGCATCGGTTTGGTCATGGAGGTGGCTCGCACCTCCATGATCCATGCCGGTGCACCCCATTTTCTGTGGCCGTTCGCTGTGCGCTACGCTTCTCACCAGCTTAACTTGTGACCGCACCCTCAGCAGCCGCAGGTTTCGCCGACCCGTCTTTGGACTGGGTCTCCTGGTGACGTGTCTGCGTTCCACGTCTGGGGCTGCCTTGCTCACGTCCGTGCCTCTGGCACGGACAAGCTCACTGCCCGCACCCTTCCCTGCGTCTTCCTCGGCTTTCCCCTTGACGCGTCTGACTGGCACTTTTACCACCCGCCGTCTCACCGCTTCTTTGACTCTCGCGACGTCTCCTTTGACGAGTCCGTCTCCTACTACCGTCGCTTCCCCCACCGCGGTCCCCCGGTTACCCCCCCCCTGTTCCTGGTCACTCCTTCCCCGGTAGTCCCTGCCCCTCCCCCTCCTCCTTCCCGTCCTGCCCCCTCTGGTGTGTCCCACGTCACCCCCCTTCCGTCGGTGGACCCGGTTGAGGAGTCTTCTGACTCTGGTGGCCTCGCCGGCCGCCCCTCCCCCGGCGTCCCCTCCCCAGTCCCCTCCTCCACTGCCTCTGCCGCCGCTGCAGCCGTCGTTGTCGCTGCCGCCGCCGCCGCCGCTGTCGCAGCACCCGTTCGTTGACTCTGGGGGTGCTAGTCCCAGTAGCCCTGGGGGTGGATCCTCTGGGGGTGCTGGTGTGGAGTGTGCCGGTGGTAGCCGCGGAGCCTCTTGCAGTCCCGGTGTCGCCGTTGTGCCGCCGCAGCAGCAGTCCCCGCCAGTGTCAGCCCTTCGCCTGCTCGGCCTTCCGTCCCCTGACCCTGCGGCTGTTCCTCTCCGACCGTCTCCTCCTCTTCCCGTCTACGGCCCTGTGTTCCCTCCGCCGGACTCGTCCCCGACCCGTCTTCCTCCTCGTTCCCCTCCTGTGTCCCCTCCCCTGTCTCCTGACCCGACTCCTCCGTCGCACGTCTGGTCTCACCGTCCCTCCCGTGCTCGTCCTGCCTCGCCTGTCTTGCGCTCCCACCCTATGTTGCTTCGTTCCCACGCGTCTCGTCCTCCCCTTCTCCCGTCGCCTCCTCCGTCCTCCCTTGTTGTTGCACCCCCCCCGCTGTCTGACTACCTCCGTGCCGCTCATCCTCTTGTTCCTCGGGTCCTTGCCTC